ACAGCTGACTTTTGCAATAAGAAAAAAATAACAACAACAAATTATAACACATTTGTTATTGCTGTTGTTGTACTATTGTTATTTGTTTCTTTTTTATGAACGAAGGACAATGATGACTCTGTTACTACTACTACTTCGATTCTACAACGAACTCCATCAAACTTCGTATGACTCTGTTGCGAACCGAAGTTGTTTGTTAGCAAACGAACTATTATAGCAACCGAATGACGATTGTAACTCTTTATCACTCACTCAGCTGCTTTGCCGTCGTTCTTTATCCCTTACGGCAGAGGGATGGAAATTTCCACTAAGAGGGAAACTTTAGCATTAAGCGTTATGGAGTGTCAGAGATGGGAATTCTACAGTTGTTCGTGTAAAAGGCATAAAAATAATTTCCAGCGACTTACAAAAGCCTCAAATATAAAGAATATTTAAATATGTATTTTGGGTTCTCAGGTTGCCAACATACCAAAAATTTATCAATATTGGTCGATATTTGAGTAGAGGCTCCATATAAAGATCCAGCCCCCTTATGGAGAATTTTCCAATCGAATTGATTAAATTTTTGCATTACGAAGTGCCTGTAATTGCTTATTCCGAGATTTTGATGGGTCAACAACGTCTTAATCGAACATTTTCAAAATGTAAGTCTTTGTTTCTATATTGCCTTCATACAAAGTTCCCGCCTCATTTTCGGTATGCTTAAGGTCCTATCCCATGCTTCCAACCGGAGTTCCTGTTGTTTGGCATTTCGTTTTCTCCTGACAGCAATTTAACGTAGCATAGCAGCCCCTATTTACTATGAGTAGTCCCCGATCTATTTAAGGTAGTTCTAATGTGGAGGGCTCAAAAAGTTCGACGCGGCTGGTTAGAATACCAAAGGATGTGGATTTTTAAGAAATATTTTATCATCGACGTTTGAGGAGGATGTGGATTTTAAACATCGTTTCCTCGCGTTCCTCTAAAGACCTGGTGTTTTTCATAATAAAAAGAAAGTTATATCAGCCAATGACCACCTAAATACGCGCATATATGATCATATCCTTCTCACAAAATTTTCCAAAACCAAATCGCAAAATGACTATCCAATGCCTCCCGAATTATATCTTTGAGGTCTGGAGACGATCCTGGATCGTTGGCATAGAACTTGTTTTTTGACTGTTCACTATCACGTCAAGGTTTTATCGTCAAGCATCAGATCCGAGGTAAAAATGGGTCTCATCCGTCTCGAAGATCATTTTATAAAAATAAGACCTCGGTGACCAATTGTCCACACATCGGTCGCAATATTTTTCCTATAAGAGAGCCAAGAGAGCCATTCAACTAAAAAATCCTCAATTATCTCTCGATGGTACAATCGATTTTTTTCTTTTGGTTGCGTGCAATCGAATTTTCAACTAATATAATATTTCAAAATAAATTTTAAAATCCCCCAGTATTTTTTAAAAAAATTAAAGAATATTTCTGCGGCGCCCAATCGAAGTTCCAGTGATATAATAATTTAATGATTCCTTTTACGACTTTTTTGATGGCGCCCAATCGAAATTTATTAGCGGATGAAATTTAAATTCATTCCTCAAAAAATGAGATGCTTTTTCGATGTGATTTGGAATCATTTTCATGTATTTCAAGGGCGTAAAATCACCATAGGCAAGGCAATCGGCATTCCGGCTTACGTTAACTGAACCTTATAAGTCTTAAAACACAGGTTTCCGACCAGCAAAAATCATTGAATAGCAAAATAGGTTCTCCGGAGCATAAATCCTTTAAACAGTCACATAATCTGGTTCAGTGGCGACCAATCGAAGTAATATCGAAAGAATTGTTTAATGCACAAGTGATTTCAGAGGTGTTCTACGATTTTTTTGGTGGCGCCCAGTTGAATATAGGAAGTATCGATCCACGCACTATAACTGTCGAAATTGATTTATCCGATTTGGTCAAAACTGTCAGCTGAAATAATAAACCTTTAGTTTTTTCTCCTGGTAATGAGATAGACATCTATCGTTGCATAGAATCAATGCCTTCATGAATTTTGTGCAGGGAATGGGAGTCCTTGCTTATTTAGTGTTGTCATTTTCCTCTGGGTGGCGCTATCTTCTCTCATTCATACGTTTCGTCATCTTCATCGATTTTTTCATGGGTTTATGTCGTGAATACTTTTTGTTTTATTCCTGGTGAATTATTGGTCTCCTGTAGGCTGTTCCAGGTGATGGAACATGGAAACAATGCCTTCTTAAATTTTGTTCCGTGATTGGTTGGAGTCCTTACTTACACAGTGTTTCCAGGGTTGGTTATTACAATCTCGAGGGGAAAATTGATTATACTCCTCTTAGGAGCAAGGTCTTCGTTAATAATTTTTTCCGCAGTAGCCTTTCCTAGGTGATGTGGCTGCCATCTACCGTTTGTTATAAAAACAATGCATACTTTAATTGTTTTCGGTAGTGGTTGGAGTCCTTACTTATTTTATTGTTGTCATTGTCCTCTGTGAGGCACCAACACAAAATAGAATTGCCAGGAGAATATTTATATTTTGTGTTGATTCCGAGGTTATAATATTAGTGCTCGATTTCAGATACATTTGTTCTTATTTCCAAATATTCAAAAATCACATTGAAAAAAATGTTTGCTTCCTCCGTTGGAATACGAGCCAGACTATCGATTTGTGGCCTGGCCACTATCCAATGTACGGCAACTAATTAATCACTATCTCCGGCAAGGGTGCTGCCATCTATCGTTGCCTAGAAACACCAACTCCTTGCATTTGGTGTAGTATTGGTTGGAATCCTTGCTTATTTAATGTTGCAATTTTCTATTAAGCAGCAATCTCCTGGTGTCGTTGTCATTCCGATTCTGTGTCATCATGGTGTGTGGATCCCAGGTTGATTTTTTTAGAATGTCAGGGAAACATTTGTATTCTACTAGTTTTACTCCCCTTGATATCTAGGCCCGTCTCTCGGAAATGGGGTTTCCATCTATCATTGCCTACGAGGCTTCCTTGAATTTTGTATAGTGGTTCGAGCCCCTGCTTATTTAGTCTTGCAATTTTCCTCTGTGTGGCGCCATTGCTATTTTATGTTATCTTTCTTTGCCGTGTTTGATGCCGAGGTTGGTTATTAGAATATGAGGGAAGAACTTCGTATGTATTTCATCTGGATCAATTTTTTGTAAATATTGGAAAACCATTTTAGAATAATTTTTTACTTCTTCGGCTGGAGTTCGGACCTGGTACCCATCGACTTGTAGGCTAACCTCTGCCACCATTACACTACACCAACCCTAACAATAATAAAGTTATTGGAAGAAAAAATAATAGATTAAAACATGGGGTTTGGGCCCGGAATTTTAATTATTGCAGTGAATGTTGTTGCCATTTTCCTCCAGGTGGAGCTATTACCAGTCATTTCTATTTTGTGTCATTCTCATGTATCGATGCAGAGGATGGGTTTTTGAGAATGTCAGGGAAGGAGTGGATTCGAACACATTTTATCTGAAGAAGGATGTAAGGCTTTTGCAAATATTCGAAAACCACTTTCAAAGAATTGTTCCTCGACTTTTTAAACGTTTTCAACGAACTTCATGGAAAAATATTTTCAAATGGGGTTCGGTTCCCTGATTTTAATACATAGAATATCTATAAAAGTTTGCTCATCTCTGCAAATATTTTTTACATAACTGCCCTGCTAATATATTGCTGCGTTGCTACCCCTCAAGTAATACTATTTGGATTGCAGCCAAAAAGTATGCAACAACATAATTTTGTTTGTTTTTTTTCTGCCCAACAAATTTTGTGATTCACCGTATCATTTCTTAATTATGACTTTCCAACCCTGCAACATACATTGTATCCATACAACCCCCTTTTCCGACTTTCCAACCGTGTAACATAGCACGTTTTCCATCTCTGTCAACGTTGCATTTTTGTTGCTGTGGCTTTCGTGTTCGTTCGCTCTCCTCTCTCGAGTAATGGCTTATGGAACGTAGCCAAAAAGTATGCAATAGTTTTTTGTGCTAAAGCACATTTTTTGTTGATTATGTATGTTGGCTGCCAAATTGATGGTTGTTGTTGTTTGGCGTTTTTACTATTGTTGTTGTATTTGCCGGGCTATTAGTAAGCCTTTTTTTGGTCGGTCGGTGTGTTTTGTAGAGGAATCCTTGTTTTTCGATTACTCGGCTACTTTTTTTGTTGTTGTGTACTACCATAAGCTAGACATCAGGGCGACAACGGAGGGTAGTCGTCGTCATTGTCGGGTATTTTATAGTAACTGTTGTTGTTCCACATATACAGAGACACACAGAGATTCATACATGTGTTTGTCGATTTGGCCACTATATAAAGTCGTCGTCATCCTCGTTTGTAGTTTGATCGTCGTTTTTGATGTGTTGCTGTTGTATTTTTTTTTTTTTTTTGTTATTGTTGTTGTAACAATTCGTTGCAAAATTGGCAGCCGCCAGACACCACACCGCCACACATTTTGTGATTCGTCGTTACGTTCCGATTCATTCCGTTCTGTTCGTTCGTCCTCTTCTTCAAATTTGCTGTTACCGTGCAGCAAATAGCAGTTCAGTTGAATTGCAACAGTCGCGTATCGTGGTTACCACCAACCAACCATTCCATTGAATACCACTTCAAACCGTATCATTTTTATATACCGAGCTCCTGCTGACTGCCAGCCAGCCGACCTGCCTGACTTTCATTCTGGATTCTCTCTTTCGTTCGCTCTAATCAACTCTAAAGGAAGGAAAGAACGCAAATAAAAGAACATTATCCGGCCAACTGTCTATAACAAAACACATAACCAAAAGGGAATTTTTTTTCCGAACTAACAAAAAAAAATATTTTTTACAAAACTTAATACTACATAAAAAAGTGTTCCGATTCTAACTCTGTGAAAATAAACTGCAGTATAACTGAACAATTTTAAATCAAAATCCTCAAGAATAAAACCAAAACTCAGTGCCTTCTTTGTAAAACAAAAAAACTACCAAAAGCCTTCGATTTTTTAAAACTAAACCTTTTTAGCTGAACTCAAAAAATGGTTGCCATTAATAACTGTAAGTAGAAAAAATATCAAAAATATCAAAAATTAAAAAAAAAATTATGTACATTTTTCTAAATGTATCATTCATTCGCATATGTAGACCTTCCAAGTTTAAAAATAAAAAAAATATTTAAAAAATTTATTTCAATTTTAAATATGTTTTTCTTAAAATTTATCCCTTGACAAAATATATTTTTTAGAAATCCAAACTGGTTTTGGTCCACAAAAAAACATTTCCTTAAAAAATACATTTTCTAATAAACCAAGGTGTGAGACATATTTTTAGGAGTTTGTTTAAAAGAATAAATCCAATTATTAAATATATATAAATTATTTTAAATATACCATTAAAAAAATAATTTTTAATAAAGTTAAAATCTAAATAACTTAAATTCGCCACGCATTTCCTGTCCTTTCCTGTAGAAAATTATTTTGTTAATAATTCAAAGTGTGGTGTATACTTTTAGGAGTTTATTTTTACAAATTAAAATAAACTTTTTTAAGAACATTAAAATCTTTCAATATTGTCTTATGAAGCCTACATTATTTTTCTTATAAACATTTGCCGTTTTTTATGGAATACTCAAAGTGTGATGCATACTTTTAGGAGTCAATTTTTTAATTTGAAGTTGCTTTCATTTTAATTAAACATTTTAATATTCCTATATGTTTTAATGAAGTCTACATTTTAAACATTGAAATGCCTCCAAAAAACCAATTACTAATACTTTTGACAGAAATAAAAATGGTTGCCGTTATTAATTGGGAGTCTATTTTTATAAATGTCTCCTTGGGCACGTGTTTTAATTTAAAATACACAAAATACCAATACACATATTCGAATTAACTTTTAACTTTTTATGGAAAAGTCAATATGTGATGCCTACTTTCAGGAATTCATTATTTAAAATTTGCATTTTTATAGATTTTAATTAAACATAAAAAAATATAGAAAGATTTTTGTGAAGACTACGCTACAAATTTGCAGTTTATAATCCAAAAGCTAAAGTGCGATGTATACTTTTATGTGTTCATTTCTATTAAACTATATTTTTAAATTTTTAAGATATTTAAATATTATAAACGTTTTTATGGCGGCTAATTAAAATTTGCAGTTTTTGATGTAAAAGTCAATGTGTGGTGCATATTTTTAGGAGTGAATTTTTTTAAATGTGCGTTTTCGTACATTTTAATTAATTTTTTTCTTACAAATGTCAAAGTGTAATGCCTACTTTTAGGTGTACTTTTTTGGAAAAGTATATTTTTGCATCAGTATTTTTCAATAGCAAACTGAAGGAAACTCTTATGTAATCAAAAAGAGGAGTTGAATTTCTGAAAAAAATATAACTTTAAAAAACACGTGGACACACAGCTGATTTAGAGCATAGAAGCTCATGCATGGACACTGATGCTCCTGGTTACTCCTCTCACACTGTATTTTCCTGTTTTAGAGATTCCTGTGAGTGCTTGCTATCAGTACTATAGTACTGTAAGTTACGAAAAACTATTAATATTTGAGGAAATATTTGTAAATAGTATTTCACTCAACAAAATTCAATTCCCAGAAACTGAAATTGTTCTAAAATGTGTTCCTCTCTTGTGTTGAAATTTCAAATGAAATACACGTGGAAAATTCTCATATACGAATTACGGTCAAAATTGATTATAATTACTGTATTGGATTTCGTTATACTGACCAATTTTTTCGATCCCTTGACCGTCGGTATAAGTGATATTTTTGTGATTGATTATTATTTTTGAATATTTTTCTACATCTAGAAAAAGTCAGAGGGCAATAAAAAACCAGTAAGGAAAGTAGTAAAGTCGGACGGGGCCGACTATATGATACCCTTCACCACTATGGATATATTAAACAGGACTATTAACATGAAATTGGATGAAATAAAATATGTGATATTTATCTAAATGTGAATCTACCTATATATCCGTAAGTTATATAAATCGACTTCAATCAAATATAAATAGGTTATCTGTTGGGCTATGTCTGTACTTCTAGAAAACGCAACTACGTAATTCTATGCTCAATTTTGTACGTTGTGCAAAATTTGATGTCAACCTGACTAGCATGAAGAGTTTGATGTCCAATTTACTTAAAATCGGGCGAAAATATATATGGAAGCTCTATCCAAATATATCAAAGGATATATAGGGACTTTGGAGCACCATTTACATGAAATCGGACGAAACTATATCTGAATCTGGGCCGATTTTCTCGAAACTGGGCAGACATCATTCTAGGCTCAATTCAGTACGTTATGCCAAATTTCCTGCAAATCGAAAGATATATAGGGACTTTGGGGCACCATTAACATGAAATCGGACGAAACTATATATGGGAGCTATATCTAAATCTGGACCGATTTTCGCGAAACTGTGCAGACATCATTCTAGCCTCAATTCAGTACGTTATGCCAAATTTCATGCAAATCGAAAGATATATAAGGACTTTGGTACACCATTTACCTTAAATCGGAGGAAAATATATACGGGAGCTATATCTAAATCTGAACCGATTTTCACGAAACTTTGCACACATCATTCTAGACTTAATTCAGTGCGCTATGCCAAATTTCGTGCAAATCGAAAGATATATAGGGACTTTGGTACGCCATTTACCAAAAATCGGCCGAAACTATATATGGGAGCTATATCTAAATCTGAACCGATTTTCACGAAACTTGGCACACATCTTTCGTGGCTCAATTCAGTACGCTATGCCAAATTTCGTGCAAATCAAAAGATTTGCAGGGTCTAAAGTCCGTAAATCGGGCAAAAATATATATGGGAGCTATATCTAAATCTGAACCGATTTTTCCCAATATCAATAGGGTTCGTCCTTGGGCCAAACAAATGAGCTGTGCCAAATTTCATCCAAATCGGATCATAAATGCGACCTGTACTTTGTTTACAATTTAACATGGACATACGGGACGGACATGCATAAATCGATTCAGATTCTATGATTCTATGCATATTCTCAAAAGGAACCATGGGTCTATCTCGATTATTTTTGCCTGTTACAAACATATGCACAAAGACATAATACCCTGTACCACAGTGTGGTGAAGGGTATAAAGAGTTAAATTCCTGAACAAAACTAAATTAAGAAATGAGTCACTTTAACACACAGCTGTTATACGCTCTTGACAATTTTGAAGATTATTAAAGAACTGGAGACAGCCATACAATACAATAAAATTACTACAGACTATATACATATATTTTAATTTATTAATTCTAAGATTTATTAATGTCATCCAACATCGAACACGTGGAACCTTCTGTAGGTATCTTGGGTAATTTAAATGTCTAGGAAATTGTTGAAGAATATTGCAACTCTGTAAAAGTGAGTCACTTCTCTTGGAGTTAGTTAAGGTGATTTTAAACCATTTTTAACATTTTCTGATTTATTTTGGGAATTTTTCTATAATAAAATTTAATTTAATTAAAATTTGAGGTCTTCTTTAAATATATATTTGTTTTCAATGCAATCCACATTAGAACAAATGAAATCAAGTCTGCAACCGAGATATATTTACCCTCAACGTATGGTTTGCGGAGGTTTCATTATGAAAAGTTTGAATGAAATCGATTTCTCCCTTCGAGAGTTATCATGCGCACAAGCCAGACAAACAGAAGAGACTTTTATTATTTATAACAGACCTCGCACTACACCTATTAAAGGGTATTTTTGTATATCCTTCGTTTTTTAGAAATTCTCCCTAAAGTTTTTATTGATTTTGGCTTTAAGTCTTCAGTTCGGGATAACTTTTGCTAAATTTCCTTTTTTTTGGTTTTATGTTGGCAACTCTGGTCACTAGCTCGTCTATGAATGACCCCCTGCACCACGTCTTTGAAAAACTCCCTTTACTTCGTATATCACAGATAACACGTGCGTGTCTGTATGTATTCTGTAAAGTTTAATTGATAGGCACGTTGATAGATAGGCAGTAATAATTGCAACGTCTGTAATGAATTCCGGTCTTAGTCTCATGTATTGGCTTTAAGTCTTCTGATCAAGAATATGATCCGAATAAAATTCTTTGTCAATATTTAGTTAGAGCTTTGACATTTTACACATACGCAACTATTACTCTTACTATGTTTGATATTTGGTAAATGGGATATATCGGTCCAAGGTTTGGCATTGCACCAATTCAACGGTACATATTCGACATTCTTTCTACTTTTTACTTTTTAACATAGCCCCTCTAAAAAGATACCTCCCAAATATTCGGTATTTTTAGGCGTATTTTTCATCCGAAATACCTGTAATTTGGTATTTTGAATTCTCATTGTGTGTGCCAAATATCACTACCAAAATTTATCAATATTTGTCCACTTTTTAAGGATAGCCGCCACGGAACCCTCAAATATACCGAACATTTGGGATTTTTGGCATGTTTTTCAACCTAATTAGCTGAAATTTGGTATTTCGGGTTCTCACAGGGTAATACATCTTCCTACCAAAAATTATTAAAACTGTTCCACTTTTTAGGATAGCCCCCATTTAGCGGTACCTCCCAAATTTCCGTATTTTGAATATTATGGGCGCTCCAATTGAGTGTCAAATTTTCTGATCATAATTTTTCCATGGCATAGACTGTAATATACAAAAATTTCAAACGATTAAAGGTATTTGAAATGTTTATCTCATGGTGGAGCGTATAAGAAGATCCGCCAGGCTGAACTTAACAACTTTTTTACTTATTTTTATTCCAAACAATCTCGATAAATCAAAATTGTATCATGGAGTATAAAAATTCTACCTTATTGATTTATTTTTATGAAGCCCTGAAAGCGTGCCTTATTTTAAAAAAATATTTTTAGAACAGCCTTGAAGACGTACCTTATATTAAAAATAATTTAAATCGGCCTTTAAGGCATGCGATATTTTAAAAATATTTTTAAGCAACCATTGAGGGCCACTTGCAAAATATTGAATAAATATATTTTTTTTAATCTGCGATTCATTTGGCTTCATTTATTTTT